TTTTTTTTGTCTTTTGAGATAGGGTCTCCTTGTAGCTCCAGCTGGCCTTGAACTCACAGAGATCCTGCTGCTTCTGCCTCCCAAGTGCTGGGACTACAGGCTTGCGCCACTACACCCAGCTTTTAGCTGTTTGTTTTTAACTGAATAGTAAGAGTTCTTCACATATTTTAGATACAAATTCCTTATAAGATAAACTCATGTCAACCAAGGTGCCAAAGTATTTCAACTGCAGAAGGAAGGCCTTTGCCACAAGCAATGTTGGAGAAACTATAAATCCATAGTAATCAAAAGCACATAGATACCTAAAGCACACATCAGTTAAAGGTGAGGGGTGATCAATAGGACTTCATCAAATTGAAAACTATTTTACAAAATTGCAAAAGATCCTTTAGCAAACAAATTGATAGAAAATATTTGCAGACCCTTTTATGGGCTTTTTATTACTGAGTTCTAAGAGTTCTTTGAATATTCTGGATACTAGACATTTATAAAAGTTGCAAATATTTTCTCCCTGTGAGGTTGTCTTTTTCCTCCCTCCCTCTTTCCCTTTCTTTCTTTCTTCCTTCCTTCCTTCCTTCCTTCCTTCCTTCCTTCCTTCCTTCCTTCCTTCCTTCTTTTTTTTTTTTTGGTCTTTTTTGAACAGTGTTTCCCTGTAGCTCCAGCTTGCCTGGAACTTGCTATGTAGACAGGCTGGCCTCAAACTCACAGAGATCCGCCTGCCTCTGCCTCCCGAGTGCTGGGATTAAAGGTGTGCACCATTACACCTGGCTCCTTTCTTTCTTTTGCTGTGCTGGGGCAAGTGCTCTACCACTCAGCTATATCACTAGTCCTTGGATTTTTTCAGATGAAGACTCATTATGTAGTCCAGGCTGGACTTAAACTCACAATCTTCCTCCCTCAGCCTTCCCAGTTCTGGAATTGCAGGAGTGTGCCACCATGCCTGGCTCTTTTCACTTTCTTGATAATGTCCTTTGAAGCACACTAGCTTTTGATGAATTTTTAATTTTGATGAATTCAGTTGGTCTTTCTTAGGTTGCTTGTGCTTTAGTCATATCTATGAATCCACTGCTTATTCTATGGCCATGAAATTTGGACACATCTATGTTTACTTCCATGAGTTTTGTACACTTGCTGATATATCTGTCTTAATACATTAGATAAACTGGCCGAGTGTGGATAAAAATATGATTTAACTATGTTCTCTTTTTAAGAAAACTCACTTTAAATGTAATTATGTAGGAAGTGTGAAATAAAAGGATGGAAAAAACATGTAAACATTAATCAAAAGGAACATATGGGGCTGGAGAGATGGCTAAGAACACTGACTGGCTGTTCTGAACCTGGGTTCAATTCCCATCACCCACCTGGTGGCTAACAACTATCTGTAATGCCAATTCCAGGGAATCTGATGCCCTCTTCTGACTTCCATGGACATTGCATGCACTTACATACATACAGGCAATACACTCATACACACAAAAGTAAGAAATGTTTTAAATTTTTAAATAAATATTTACTTTTTAATAAAGGAACATGGGCTGGAGAGATGGCTCAGCGGTTAAGAACACTGGTTGTTCTTGCGGAAGACCCGGGTTTGAATCCCAGCACTTACATGGCAGCTAACAACTGTCCAAAACTCCAGTCCCAGGGGATTTGACAGCCTTGTCTGGCCTCCGCGGGCATTGTATGACACAGGTGCACTTACCTACATGCAGGCAATACACGCATACACACAAAATAAAAATGAATAAATAAAAGATTAAAAAATAAAAAAATAACATGCACTAGGAATGGACTCAAAAGGCAAAGGGAAGAACTGTGAGTTTGAGGCCAGCCTGGGCTACATAGCAAAAGCCCGTTTTAAAAAAAGCAAAAACAGAGCTGGGTGTGGTGACACACACCTTTTGTCCCAGCACTAGAGAGGCAGAGGCAGGTGAATCTCTGTGAGTTCAAGGCAGCATGGTCTACATAACAAGTTCCAGGCCAGCTGGGGCTACAGGAAGACCCTGTCTCAAAGAAGGCAAAAACAACAACAAAAAAATCCCCAAACTCAAAACAAAAAGTTGAAGTGGCCATATTGTCAGAAAAAGACATTAAAGCCTAAAAAAATTACCAGAGATATTTAGAGAAGGGTCAAATTTCTGACTTTAAAAGACTTCAAAGCAAAGAAAATTATCAGAGATACTTAGAAAAGGATCAATCACCAAGATATAGAGCTTCAAATAAAAGACTAAAAAGGGAAGGCACAATGTATTTACAGCAGGCTGAACACAGCAAAGGTCCGCACTCCAGAATGAATTTACATATTTAATGCAATACTAATCAAAATCTCAGCTCTTCTTTTCTTTTTGGTTGACATAGATAAATCCATGCCAGAATTTATAAGGAAGGGCAAAGGAACTTGACTACTGTAGTTGAGCATATCGTTTGTCCATATGGACTCCTGAGGCCCTCAATGGTGTTGAGAAGAGGTATGTATCTAAGATAGTATCAAAAACAAAACAAAAACAAAAACAACCAAAACCCCCATAGTACAATATATAGCTTTCTAGGCCTTGCTTTGAGCACCATTTCAAAAACTCAGGAAGATAGGAAAAGAAAGGGCAATAAAAATTAAAATTCTGAACATCTGTACTCAAAGTTAGCACAAACACATTAAAAACTTCTTACAGCTGGGCATGGTGAGTCATGCCTACCAGCACTTGGGAGGCTGACACAGGAGCATTTCTGTGAGTTCAATACCAGCCTGGGCTGGTATTCCGTCTCGAAAACAAGCAACCCTTAAGCTGGGTGTGGTGATGCATATCTTTATTCCCAATACTCCTCTGGGAGGAAGAGGTAGGTAGATCTCTGTGAGATCAGGCCAGCATGGTCTATGTAAGTGAGTTCTAGGCCAGCTGGGGCTACAGGGAGACCCCCGTCTTAATAAACACACAAAGTCCAATGAAACAAAATAAAACCAAAAAAAAAAAAAAACCCCAATAAATATGGTGCAAGGAGCTGAACAGGACATTCTCTGGAGTCGGGCCGGCATGGTGTATGTAAGTACATTCTAGGCCAGCTGGGGTTACAGGGAGACCCCCGTCTTAATAAACACAAAAAGTCCAATGAAAAAAAATAAAACCAAAAAAAAAAAAAACCCCACATGACTTCCGAAATCTTAAAGACTATGTGTAATGGTTAATCTTCATTATCAACTTGACCTGATTTTAGAAAGCACCTAGGAAACACATCTCTGTGTGAGTCTGTGAGGGCATTTCTAGAGAGGTTTAGCTGAGGAGGAAAGACCTAACCCTAAATATGGGCTGGGTGTCTAGAATGAATACAAGGGAAAGAAGCAGCAGGAAAGCAGGAGAAACCAGTGTTCATCTCTTCCTGCTTCTGACAGGAGAATACAACGTGAGCAGCTTCTGTTCCTGCTGTATGCCTGCTTTACAATGAACTGTACCCTCAAAGTATGAGCCAAAATAAAACCTTCCTTCCTGAAGTTGCTTTTGTCAAGAATTTTATCAGAGCACTAAGAAAGAACTAATTATATACTGTGTGCCCTAAAGCATAAGGCAGGAGAGACTAGACATGTAGTTTAGTCAGTGGTAAAACACTTGCCTAGCATGCACAAGGTTCTAGGTTTCATCATCATCACTGACAGAGAGAGAGAGAGAGACTTGATTGGCGAATGCAATGATAATTACCCAGGTATGGCAGCATATGCCTATAATTCCAGTATTCAGAAGGGTAAGATGAGAGGTAGTCTTGGCTATACAGTGAGCTCAAGACCAGCCTAGGCTACACAGGGAGACCTGTCTCAAAAAGCAGAAAATGTTGGCCTGGCATGGTGACACATACCTTTAATCCTAGCACTTGGGAGGCAGAGGCAGGTGGATCTCAAATAAAACAAAGGCCATCTCAAATAAAACCAAACCAAACCAAACCAAACCAAAAAACCCCAAAAAGTGTAATATATTTTACACACAAATTTATACTTAAGTCACTAAGCATAATATAGTGATCTCAGTGTCCCTGAACCAACTCTGAAACCTGAGCGCTAGACCATTCCCAAGAGTCTACCCATCTATGTATCTTTCCACTGTTGCATCCCTCTACCTCACTTCCTCCAACTCCTATGAAATAATCACTGCCTTATTTATGTCATTGGTAAGAAGGGAATACAGAAAACATTTTTAAAGGTAAAATGAGGGCAAATTCATCTTGAGTAGAACAACCAATTTCTCTCCATCTCCTTTCAATATAGCACAGACAGCATGCACAATGTCTGGTGTTGTGAAATCTTACACTGGTACCAAGGCTATTAAAACATAGTGGCTGGGCTGAAGCGATGGTTCAGTAGGTAAAGGCACTTACTGCCAAGCCTGACAACAGGTAGAAGGAAAGAATCAACTCTCTCAAGTTGTTCTCTGACTGGGGCTGGAGAGATGGCTCGGCAGTTAAGAACACTGGCTGTTCTTGCAGATGACCTGGGTTCGAATCTCAGCACCCAGATGGCAGCTAACAACCTTTTATAACTCCAGTTCCAGGGGATTTGATGCCCTCTTCTGTCCTCCGAGGGCACTGCATGACATGGGTGCACTTACCTACATGCATACACATAAAATAAAAAATAATAAAATATTAAAAAAAAGTTCTCTGACTTCCACAAATGTGTCATGGGTGTCATGGCATATTTATGTGCAACTGGTACCCCCATACACAAATGTAATAAATAAATGTAAAACACACACACACACACACACACACACACACACACACACTTGGGCTTTATTGTGAGACCCTGCCTTTAAAAAGAAAAAGAGGAGAGGTATGTTACTGTCTTCAAACCCTCACAACTGACTCACATGTGGCTTTACCCTAAAAGTCTATTAGCTAACCAAATAAGCCAAAAATTTTTAAATGTCTGAAATTAAAGTATTTAAAGTATTTAAGCAAACCACTTATATTAGAAAAATGACCAAGAAAAGATTAAAATACTTTAAAACAATTACCTCATGTAGATTCAGCTCTTTTACTTTTTCTTTTAATATAACCTGTAAGATTAAAAAAAAATGTTCTTAGGCTCACTTAAATTGAAGGCAGGTACCTTTTCCCACTGAGCCATCCTACCAGCCCATTTAAACACATAAGACTGGTGATGCAGCTTACAGATTTTAGCACTTATATAGCACACCAAGATACCTAGTGCCACACACAAAAGCAACTGAAAACATTTCTCTCAAAACACACAGTGAGGCGTGGTGGCGCATGCCTGTAGTCCCCGCACTTGGGAGGCAGAGGCAGGCGGATCTCTGTGTTGAAGGCCAGCCTGGTCTACATAGTGAGTTCCAGGCCAGCTGGGGCTACAGGGAGACCCTGTTTCAAAAAGACCGAAAAAAAAAAAACCAAACAAAAACACTTCACACACATAAAGAAGAGGAAGAGGAGGAAGAGGAAGAGGAGGAGGAGGAGGAGAAAGAAGCAGAAGCAGCAGCCCTGCTTCTCTCCCCTCTTAAAAAAAGCTAAAGACAACAAAAATTTCATGTTTAGGACCAAAAGAAAATTAAAGGCAATTTGGGCCCACTGTTTGATGATGTCAGTGGTAAATGTTAATGGATGATAAGTGGAAGAATAAAGTACTTTTATTTGCCCTTTGAGAAACGTGGAGTTTGCCAGCATGGTAGCGTAGGCTAGTTATCTCAGCATTTGAGAGGCTACAGCAGGAGGGCTGCTACAAGTTCAAGGCCAGCCTGGGCTACAGAATAAGTTCCAGGTTAACTTAGGACATATAGCAAAACAAAAACAAAACAAAACAAAAACCTACTACCAACTTTTGTTGTAAGTGGAGTTATAAAAACAAATGAGTGAAAGGCTAGTGAAGGTTAATGTGCAATATGAGCTAACATGTCAAGTACAAAGAGATCACAGTTACACAGCTGGTCTCCTCTGAGGAACTGCTGTTCTTAATGGAGTGAAAACTCCACTCACAGGAATTTTTACGCTCTACTAAGTCAATGGTAACTTAAAGGATTGCAAACTACAGTTATTTCTTTTCAGCAAAATGTTGGCAGAAATTCTTTTTTATCACTCAAACTTCCTATAGCTTCAAATAATACAAATAAAAGAACACATGAGACAGTTGAGTTAATCTATTTTGAATGGCAAATTGGCAAATGAAATACTAAAATGAACTTAAGTTAACCTAGTCCCAGTTTAAAATGAGTAGAAATCAAAGTTCTCAAAGTTTTGGTTGGAAAATATAGTAAGTGGGCTGGAGAGATGGCTCAGTGGTTAAGAGTACTCACTGCTCTTCTTGAGGACCCGAGTTCAGTTCCCAACACCCTTGTGGAGGCTCATAATTACCTGTAACTGCAGTTCCAAGGGATTTGACACCCTCTTCTGGGTGCATTTATATACATGCAAGCTAATCCTCATACACATAAAATAAATAACAAGTTTTAAAAATTCAATAAAAACTAATTGAAATTAAACTTCTCACCTGTTTGTAGGCATAAAACTCTTTGTGTGCTTGATGTCTTAGCCTAAAAGACACAAATGAGCAGTGCAATATTGAGATTTCTCAAGTGTCATCTACCTCCTGTTAAGACCAAATACCCAGTGAGCTGTGGAACACCACCCACTATAAGTGCTGGTGAGACTTCATTGAAACAAGAATCTCAATACAACAAATATTCTAATGAAGATATATTTTTCATGTTAAGAAAAGCTATTTGATTCAATAGTTGATGTGTCACATTTTTCTTAAAGCACACATTCAATAAAGTGCAAAAACTAAGTATATAGCTCGAAAATTTTAAAAATTCATGTAGTAGAGTAACTATCATCCATATCAAGATACAGGTCATTCCCAGAATCCCTGAAGCTTCTGAAATGACCCCCTTTCAATCAATGCTTACTGATAGAGCACCCCTATTCTGCCTTCTGTCTGATCGCTATAGATCAACTGCGCCTGCTTTTGAACTTCACATAAATGGACTGCTTGGCACATCCTCCCTTGTGTTTGGCTTCTTTCAGTCTATAGTCCCTACTGAGAGTCATCTATATTGTAATAATTCCACCTTTTTGAGCCACATAGTATTTCATAGTATGAATATAGCAGAATCTATCCATTGAATACAGTTGCTACAGTCACACAAACTCTTCTGTAAGTTTTTTAGTGGACACAGAGATTCACTTCTGTTGACACAAAAAAAGAGTAGAGCTGCTAGTCCAAAGTACTTCTACTGGTCCCGTTCACGAGTGTTCTCATTCCACATCTTTGGAACTGCTTAGTAGGTTCAAGTTTAAACTTTAAAAAAAATTTTACTTATTATCTATGTGTATTGCTTGCATGCGTGTAAGTGTACCTTGTTGTATAGTGCCCTCGGAGGTCAGAAGATGTCAGATCCCCTGGAACCTGAGTTACAGAAGGTTGTTAGCTGCCATGTGGGTCACTGGGAATTGAATCTACGTCCTCTGCAAGAGCAACTAGTGCTCTTAACTGCTGAGCCAACTCTCCAGCCCCCTCAAGTTTAAACATTTAAATGTAGCCTAATTTATCAACTTTCTCCATTTAGGTTTTTTCTTTTTGTACTTGGTTGCAGAAGTGTCCACCTAGCCAAAGAGTAAGAAGATATTCACCAAAAGCAATTCATGATGATGCAAAACTGTAACCCCAACACTTGGGTGGTGGGGGCGGGTGGAAGGATCAAGGTCATTCATGGCTACATAGCAAGTTCAAGGTCAGCCTATGCTATACGAAACTGTTTAAAGACAATCTCCTGTATCCTGAAAATCATGCTATTTTACCTCCACATTTATGTCTGAGATCCATCTGAAACTGGACTTTATGTATGCTATGAGGTAGAGGTCTAGATTCTTTTATAAAATTATCTATTTTTTTAGTGGCAAATTAATTTTAGTAACTATTCAAAAACAATCAAAAGTAATAAGCATTTGTGTGTATGCTACACAAACAAATACCCATGAGACTTTGGCAGGAGGTCTCTGGTCTTTCTGGTGACTACTTCAGTTACAGTTGGTATTTCAGGAAGCCCTGTCTTCGTGTGATTGCTCAAGAGCAGGGTTCAGTCCACAGTGCTGGAGTTCCAGAGGCGGCAGCATTTGTTCCTGTCCACGTGCAGTGTGGATGCCGTTTCTGCTCAGCTCTGTTCACATCCAGGTGTCTGTAAAGTCTACGACTTTTCTCTTTTTTATTTCTGTTGCTATGTTTTTTCTAAGGCTTCCCAGTCACATTCTCAGTGCTCACAGCAGCTGCAGTCATCAGGCCACTCCCAGGCTTGTAACCCATCATGGCCTCGACCCCTCTGGTCAGAGCCCTCACATTCTCTTGATGGAAAAAAGTTTTGTCAACTACATTTTCAATCTGCTTCGCCTTCTGATTTCTGCCCAGCTGCACTTTTACTTCATCAACCTTTGTTTTGTTCTCTAGGAGTTGGTGGTGTTGATGCTGAAATGTCATAGGATCTGTTCTAGGAGGAGGGTGGCAGTACAGTAGTTTACCCTTGACATAATCCTTTAGGATATAGTGTGCAGATCGAGGTTGGTCTGGCTGTCCATGTGCTGTCATGAATCCTTGCATACTCCATAAGCTGTCAACAGTTCTTCTGAGGTTGGCGGTCAGTGGGGATCTTCATCTTCTCTAGGTTTTATGATATTAATGCCATAGGTAGCTTCCAAAACATGTCATGGGATATTCTGGCAAACTAGTAATATGGGTGGGACATGATCTCTCATCTGGTCAATTGGGAGGATCCCATTGCAAATCGTTTCTGCCTTGGTAGACACACAGGATGGTGTCACCAGGCCTGGGCAGTCACACAGGCAGAGGCCAGGCTCCACAGAGAGTCTGGAAATCCTTGGTGTGACCAGGCGTGGCAGACACAGATACTTTCTTGTTGCCCATGATGGTTGTTGATGGTTGAATTCTTACCAACATTAGGGTAACCTACCAGTCCAACAGTGAGCTGCCTGTCTTTCACCTTCTTTCCAGTGTGCAGCTGCTTAAAGAGCTCCAGCAATTCCTGCTTTGATACCAGGTAGCTAAAACTGTGTTTCTGCTGCCTCTCTGGGACTGTTCTGCTGAGCCTTAAAATCTACAGTAGTGTGTCTTCCAGTCCTGATCACAGGCCCCCTCATCAGGACTGCTGTCTTCTGATCATGTCTGCCAATCATCGTCCTCTTCCTCCTGACAGTCCTCATACTCACTGTCATCTTTGCCACACTCATGGAATCGTCACTAAGTGAGAGAGAACCCATGTGGGAGATGGGTCAGTCTCACTGTGTGGAATTTCATTCTCATCCAAACTGGAGCTTTCGGATTCAGCTGTGGCGGATGCTCCAGCAACTCTGTTTACTTGGTCCTTAGAGTTACCACTCAGATGGAATGTTTCAGCCAAAGCTGGCCAGAAAATAACCTTCACACCTTCTTTTTCAAAATATGTGGCCCAGGTGAACCGCTGCTCAGCAGTCAACAAGTCTCCCTTGTTTATGAGAATAATGTTCTCCTTATCAGCATCAATCTGTTTGATATAACATTCTAAATCCTCACATCTAAACAGGAGTGGGTTTCGAACATCTACTATCTGGGCCACGGTATCACTTCTCTCAATGACCCTCTAGAACTGGCACCAAAAATCCAAATTTTGTTCAAATGGAGTCAATATCAACTTTTGTTCCTCTTCTAGACGGACAAGCTGATGTCTCCATTTTAGTAAGTTATCTTTCTCTGCCTGTTTCAGTTCTTCTGGGCTAGTTTTTCTGTCCCAATTTGGCCTCCTTGGTATACTCAAGAACTGTTTTCTTCATGGGGTTTCTTAATTCTCTGGCTCTCCTCAAAAGACAGCAGTCCAGTTCTAGCCTCAGGGAGCACAAACTTAATATTAAGCTTCTCAGCTACAAATTCTGTCCGTGCAAGTAAGTCATCAAGGGAGCTTTGCTCAGTCACTGACTGAAGATTAAGATGACCCCAATCATAGCCATCACTGAGTTCACTTGTGTGCAACTGTGTCATGCAGTGCCCGCATAGGTCAGAAGAGGGTGTCGGATCCCCTGGGACTGGAGTTACAGACTGTTGTTAGCTGTCATGTGGGTGTTGGGAATCGAACTGGGTCCTCCTGAAGAACAGCCAGTGCTCTTTACCACCGAGCCATCTCTCCAGGCCCCCAGGAGTTGGTGTGACAGTGGCTACGGCTTCACTGGGTCTGATGCCAGATAAGGACCTGGCCCAGAGACCCACTACCGGGTGTTCTCCTTTGGCCCATAGCAATGCAACCGGCCGAACAAACTCGCTCGTCTCAGTCAAATTTATATATATATATATATATATGTGCCTGCTTGTATGTGCACCAATGATATGCATGCAGGGGCCTGTAATGGCTAGAAGGTGTGGGAACCCCTGGAACTGAAGCTACAGTCAGTTGTGAGTCTTCTGACATGGGTGCTGGGAGCTGAACCTGGGTCCTCTACATGAGCAGCAAGTTCTTAACCACTGAGCCATCTCTCTAGCCCTTTTTCATCCCTATACAGATTTTTACTTGCTTTGTCATTTATCAAAAATCATCTTGGGGCTGGAGAGGTGGCTCAGTGGTTAAGAACACCGATTATTCTTGCAGAAGACCCAGGTTCGAATCCCAGCACCCACATGGCAGCTAACAACTATCCATAACTCCAGTTCCAGGGGATCCGATGGCCTCTTCTGTCCTCCGCAGGCATTGCACGACACGGATGCACTTACCTACATGCACTCATACACATAAAAATAAAATATTTTAAAAAATGGATCATTTTTTCTCACTGCATTGTGGTACATGCCTGTTATCAATCAGGAGTATCCCATATGTGGATGTTTTAGACTTTCATCTGGTTCCAATTGCCTATTTTTCCCATCCTTGTATACTGGTTTGAATAGTGTCCCTTAAAAACTTCATATCCAACTAGAACCTGGGAATGTAGCCTTCAGATTATTTCAGATTATTAATAAACTGAGGTCATACTGGATTAAGCTGCACCTTACATTCAATGTGACTGGTATCCTTGGAGGAGTACAAGTGGAGACTGGAAAGGCAGATGGCTCTTTGTGAGACAGAGGCCAGCTTAGTCTACATAGTGAGTTCCAGGTCATTTGGGGAGAACCTGTCTCAAAAAACAAACAAAACAAAACAAAAAATTCCAACTTTTATTCTAGGGACTGTAGAGATGGATCAGAAGTTAAACAGTGCTTACTGCTCTTACAGAGAACCGGAGTTCAGTTCCCAGCACTCCCATCAGGAAGCTGTAATCCACAACTACCTGTAGCTCCAGTTCCAGGGGATCTAACACCCTGACCTCCACAGGTACCTGCACAAATGTGCTACATAAACTCATGCAGGCACACATACATATACACAAGACCCTTTTATTTTAAAACAGTTTAGATTACAAAAAAATCCATACACACTAAAGGTGCTTTGAGACAAGATCTTTCTTTGTAGCCCAGGCTGGATTTGAACTTGAGATTCTCCTACTTTAGCCTTTTGCATCACCATGCCCAGCTCACATACAGTTTTCTACCAGTTTTCCCAATGTTCACATTTATAGAACCATAGTATAATTACAACTAGGAAATTGCATCATATAACAGTGACATGAGATTGACCTGCTATTAACGACAGACCCAGTTAAAGTTCACCAGTGTTTTCACTCATGTCCTTTCCTTATCTATAATCTAACATCTGGTGGTCTCCTAGCCTCCCTTAATCTCTAATAGTTCCTTAGTCATTCATACTTTTGACATACTGACTGCCATCAGCTGCTTCAGACAGTGTCTACTAGATTTCTCTACCACAAAGTTACTACTTTACCCTTGTAACGGGCACACATCTTAGGGGAGATAAGTTGAAATGATGTTCCTCTCTTTACTCAAACGTTTTCCCACTAATATTAGTACCTATCTTGCTTACCCTGTGGTCCTTCAGTCACTCTGTAGTTCCTAATTCTTGGTATATCTAATTCTATTTCACCCATGAGTTCCTTCTTCATCTATTTACACAATTATTCCTGAATATCTGTTTTAGTCTATAGGTTGTAATTCAATATGATCATTATTTGTTGCTCAAATTGATTTAGGACTAGACTTAGGAAGTCCTTCAGGTTGACTCCTGTGTCTTTTATATAAAAAAGGAATCATATAATATGTGACCAGTAGTAGTTGGTTTTCTACTCAGTATGTTTTCTTTTTTCTGAGACAGGGTCTCACTACGGAGCCCTCTTTGGTCTGGATCTCACAGAGATCTGCCTGTCTCTGTCTCCTGAGTGCTGGGATTAAAGGTGTGTGCCACCATGCCCAGCATGTTTTCACTTTTATCCTAGTTGTAGCATGTATTGGTATTTTATAGTTTTTTTATGGCCAAATAGTATCTCATTATTTGTACACAGTACAATTTGTTATGCATTTATCTGTTGATGGACCCTGGGTTGTTTACACCTTTTGGCTATTATGCATACATTTACAAACATTTCTGTATAAGTATCTGTGTAGGACACGTTCTTTTCATTTGTCTTGAGTATATACTAAAGAATGAAAACGCTGGGTCATATAATAATTCTGTTTAATATCTTGAGGAGCCAATGCTCTTCCACAGCAGCTGCACCATTTTCATTCCCAATTAGCAGGATGTGAGGGTTCTTATTGTTTTACACTTCACTAACACTTGTCATTTTAAAATCTACCTCCAACTTTGAGTTGTTGTTTTGAGACAGGGTCTCAAGATGTAATCATTAAGGTCTGGAGTCCATCATAGAGCCCATGGTGGCCTTAAACTCAAGATCCTTCTGCCTCAGTTGGCCTTGTGCTTCATTGTTTCAACTTGCATTTCCTTAATGATCAATGATGTTAAAGATCTATTTGCTTGTTTATTGTCTATCTTTGGAGAATTGTGTATTTACGTCCTGTGCCTTGTTTTTAATTTGGTTGTCTTTTTAAAAAATTATTTTTATTTTATGTGTATGAGTATATTGCCTGCATGTATGTAAGTGCACCCATGTTGTGCAATGCACTGGATTCCCTAGAATTGGAGCTACAGACAGTTGTTAGCTGTTATGTGGGTGCTGGGAACCAAACCTGGGTCCTCTGCAAGAACAGCCAGTGCTCTTAATCGCTGAGCCATCTCTTTAGCCTCTGGGTTGTCTCCTTGCTATTGAATAGTTGTTCATATATCCTGGATATTAAGCTGTTATCAGATATAGAATGTGTAAATATTTTTCTTTCATTGTGTACGTTGCCTTTTCATCTCTATCTGTCTCTGTCTCTTCTTTGATGCAGGGTATTGAACCCAGAGTATCTATCTGTCTTGACTGTCCTCTCTCCTTTGATGTGGGTATCAAACCCAGAGTGTCTGTCTGTCTGTTTCTCTGATGCAATAAATCCAGGGCTTCATATATATAAGCATATGATTTTCCACTATGTTGTACCCACAAATCTTCAGTTTCTTGATGTCATTTGGCACAAATAATCTGATTTTATTTCAATTAGTTAATTTTTTAGGAGTCTTACTACATTGTCAGGCTAGCCTTGGACTCAGCTTCCTGAATTATTGGGAAGACTCGCCATTGCTTCTGTATTTAATTTTTTGTAAGCCCAACTTATTTTTTTCTTTGGTTACTTGTGCTTTTTGTGCCAAATATGAACACCAAGAAATTAAGGCAAAAAATCCCATAAAAAACAAACTATCAAAACACAAAACTAGTTATGTTTCTGTTCATTAGCACTAAACAATCTCCAAAGGGAATGATGACCATTTTGTTTATACTCGTATCCAAAAGAAAAATCCTAGGAATAAAGTTAGCCAAGGAAGTGAAGGACTTGCACACGGAAAACTACAAAATACTGCTAAAAGAAACTAAAGAAGATGAAATTTTGAGTTCTTTTGAATTCTTCATATTTAGGTCACTGATCCGTTTTGAATTAATTTTGGTATTACTGTGTGAAGGAGCCTTATTCTTTTCCAGGGCCAGCAGCACTGATTGAAGAAGCAAGTCTTTCTTCGCTGAACGATTCTGGCATTCTTACTGACTTAACAACTGGCCATAGTTATGTGGGCGTATTTTTAGGACTCCTAATTCCATTCTTTTGATTTGTATTTTATAAAATTTATGCCAGTATCAGCTTTGTAGTTAAGTTTTAAAATCAGGTAATATGAGACCTTTTCTCTTTTTCTTTCTTTTTTTTTTTTGGTCTTTTTGAGACAGGGTCTCCCTGTAGCCCCAGCTGTCCTGGAACTCACTCTGTAGGCCAGACTTGCCTTGAACTCAACAGATCTGCCTACCTCTGCCTCTGTAAGTGCTGGGATTAAAGGTGTGTGCCACTATGCCCAGTTTAAAGGTTGCAGTATAGCTTACTGGTAGAATGCCTGCCCAGCATGAAGGGGCCTAGTACCACAATGCAATACAACATAACACAGCACAACAAAACAGCAACAAAAGCTTGACCTATGGTTTGCTTTTGCTTCAGGCCTAGAATTCTAAGTATCTATGTAGCAGTTGTTTCAAATCCTTACTAATTTCTTCAGTTTTAACCCTCTCATCTTCCCTTTACTAGTCCCATTTATTTATTTATTTATCTATTTATTTATTTATTTATTTATTTATTTATTTATTTATTTATTACAAGGTCTTGAGGTATAGCTCAGGTAGGCTTTGAACTCAGGATCTACCTGCTGCAGCTTCCTGAATGCTAGGATTATAGGTATGAGCCACCTGGCTTGCCCCCCCCACCTTAAAACATTTTTTATTTATTATTTTTATTTGATGTGTATGTGTGTATTGCCTGCATGTAGGTAAGTGCACCCGTATCATGCAATGCCTGTGGAGGTCAGAAGAGGCTGTTGGATCCCCTGGGACTGGAGTTATGGAGAGTTGTTAGCTGCCATGTGGATGCTGGGATTCAAACCCGGGTCTTCTGCAAGAACAACCAGTGTTCTTAACTGCTGAGCCATGTCTCCAGCCCTGGATCTCCCTATCTTTAAAAAAAAAATTTTTATTTTTCTTTTTTCCAGGCAGAGTCTCAACTCTGTAACCCAGGCCACTCTGGAACTCATTATGAAGCTGATGTTGGCCTTGAACTTGTAGCAATCTGCTTGCCTTAGCCTACTGAGTGCTAGAATTACAGGCATGAGCTACTATGCCCAGCCAGTAAAGACTTCCTATTCTAGCACTCAGAAGGCTGAGGCAGAAGTATGAATTAAAGCTAGTCTGGGCAGGCTACAGACTAGCTTTCTTTTCTCTTCTTTTCTTTTTTTTAAAACAACCTTCCCTTTAATTTCCTATTTTTTTAAACATCGAAAAGTTCTTTGAAGAATATCATGTAACATTTTTTTGTTATTTTTTGATACAGGGTCTCACTATGTAGCTGAGACTGGCCTTGAACTCCTGATTGTATTGGTTCTACCCAAGTGCTGGGACTACAAGTATGTACTACGACATTTGGCTTATCTAAAACTTTTAAAGGCTCAGTTTTGGCTTTGAAAATTATGCTCGATTTTAAAACATAAAAGGTAGCTGGTCATGGTGGTGCATACCTTTACTCTAGCACTCAAGAGGCGGAGGCTCTTTGAGATTAAGACCATCCTGATCTACATAGCAAGTTCCAGGCCAGCTAGGGCTACAAGGAGACCCTGACACAAAAAGCCAAAAAACAAAACAAAACACCCCAAATAAAACCAAAAAAGCCCCTCCCCCAACCCCTAAAACATAAAAGGTAAAAGATAATTATGAGTCAGCTAAGTCTTGGTAAGCATGAGTTTTTACTGTCAAAATCTATCACCCACTTAAATGAGGTGTACTCCTCTGTCTTGAGTCTCTGTATGTACTTACAGTGTTTAGTGTTTTATGCAGGTAATCACTGGAACACCCAACTACTTTAGCAACAAATAGCTGCTTAAAATCTTGAGACCAATCACAAGAGGCTTTTCAAATGCATAGGTCTTATCTTAAGGCACTGTCTTCTGATCCACAATGACTTCAGATAGCAATGATGTGAATGCCTTCTGGAAGAGCAACTTTGAAAGCAGATTAAATCTTGGAGACAATGACATAAGTGTTATGTGGATCAGATGCTAATGTGGTAGAAAAACTAATGGAGACAGTTTTTTTTCTATAAAGGACCCATCAGCAGATAGGACTGAAGACTACATAAATGTACATTACTGATTGTCAACTCACACAAGATTAAAGTGTCCAGTCAATATGCACCTAGAAAATTGGCCAATTTAACATATTCTGAAGTAAAAATTGATTAATAAAAATTGATTACCTAATCAAGTAGCAGCAGAAGAGTAAGCTAAGGATGAAGACAAATATAGCAGTGCCGAAGACCACAATATATATGTTGAGAGGCAGGTTCTGGAATCCAATATTAGGCATCCTGAAGTTGTAATGTGGGAAATCTGAGCTCATGGATGAACTGTGGGGGAAGAAAAGAATGGAAAAGAATTAAGTATGGACAGGCATGATAGCACATGCCTGTAATCCCAGCCCTTGAGAGGCTAAGGCAGGAGAATGGCCATGAGTTTGAGGTCAGCAGGGGCTACATACTAGGACTGTCTCAAAAATCCAAATAAAACAAACAAAACAAAACCCCTCAGACTCAAGATAGCATTATATATGTTAGAGGCAAAAGTTTTCTAATGCTTGACCTCAAATGAAACAAGGTAAAGTATTAATATTCTTGTTATTTATTTATTCACTCATCCATCACACCAAATATTTATGGAGTGCTTATTATTAGAGATTCAAAACATAAAGCATTTCAATATGCATTCATTCATAAAACATGTCACTGAAATAATGACTGTAATCAATGAACACGAGAACATTCAGCCACAAAGAAATACAAAAAGGAGCCCAGCATGGATACGGGAGGTGGGCAGGAAGCCCCAGCCCTAACTGAGGAGCTATTGGCAATTGATAGATGCTAGGAAAGGGAGAGTCAGTTTTTCTTACTGGTGTGATGCCTAGTAGGTTGACCAGACTCCAAGGCATAGACCCACACTCAAGAGCACCTGGGAAAAACAATTAGATTTTCTACTTTTTTAAAGTAGACAAATAATAACAGAGGACATGAAGTCAGGGGGAGGTAGTACGGTGGGGGTGGAGGGGGAGTCTGAATAACAAAAATACATTTTATGAAATTCTTGAATAAAAATATTTTTAAATGTATTAAGACTTTTCAGACTCATTAAACTTAATAACTTGTTCCTTAACGTAGCAGTATAAATAATGGTAATATATGAAAAATAACAACTCACTTGGGTCGGAGAGATTGCTCAGCAGATAAAGTGCTTGCAGTACAAGCCTGACAACCTGAGTTCCATCCTCAGAACCCATGTAAAGGGGAGAGAACAAACTCTGAAAAGCTGTCCTCTGACCTCCACCACAAAAGCACCACAGCACATGCATGCCTACCCATTTTACACACACACATACACACACACACATACACAAACTCCTATCTCTCACAACAGATGACTAAATGTAGCATCAAATGTTTGTTTTTTTCTCAAAAAGTGAAACAGAGCCATGTATGGTGGCATACACTTTTAATCCCAGCACTTGGGAGGCAGAGACAGGCTGATCTTTGAATCCAAGGCCAGCCTGGTCTACACAGAAAGTTCTAGGCAAGCCAGGGCTAAGCAAAGAGACCCTGTCTCCAGGATTAAAAAAAAAAAAAAAAAAAAAAAAAAAAGCTAAATAGAATTATCATATGACCCAGCAATTCTATTCCTAGTAATGTACCTCCAAAAAATTAGAAGGTAGAGACTCAAACATATTCTGATATACAAATATTCTTTAAAAATTTTTGTTTTATTTTTAATTATGTGTATGGGTTTGTGCATCTAGGTGCTAGTGCTGTGAGAGACCAAAGGAGTTAGATTCCTCCTGAAGCTGGAGTTACAGGCGGCTGTGAGCTACCTGATGTGGGTACTGGGAACCAAACTCAGGCTCTCTATAAGAGCAGTATATCTCTTCAGTCCCCAGTACACAAATATTCTTAGCGACACAGTTCTCTATAGCTCAAAAGTAGAAAAGCTTAGATGTTCATCAAGAAGCGAATAAACAATTGTGGTTTGTCTCCTATAATGGAGTACAAGTCAGTCATAAAAAGGAGTGAATTGGTAATTCATGCTATAGCATGAATAAACTTTGAAAACATACCAAGTAAAAGAAGCCAGATACAAAAAGTCATGTTATATATAATTCTGTGTATGTGAAATATCCAGAAGAACTAAATCCATATGTCCTACTTTGTTTCTTCATTGCTGTGACAAAATACTCTGACCAATACCAACTTGGGGAGGAAAGGGTTTACTCCGCTTAGATCTCCCGGGTCACAGTTCATCAGGGAGCCCAAGGTAGGAACTCAGGGCAGGAACCTGGAAGCAGGAGCTGGAGCACAGCCCATGGAGGAATGCTGCTTACTGGCTTGCTCCCCTGGCCCCTGCTCAGCCTGCTTTCTTATGCAACACAGGCCCACCTGCCTAGGGGTGGCATCACCCCTAGTGGGCTGGGCCCTCCCACATCACTCATCAAGAAGATGCCCCTCAGACATGGCCACAGGCCACTCCAATAGAGGAAATTCCAGGATTGAGGTTCCCTCAACCCAGGTGTGTCAAGTTGACACTAAAGCTATCCAGCACACTATAGAAACAGAAAGATTGGTGTTTGACCTGAGGGGGATGTTATATGTATCTACCATAACAGTTAAACTAAACAGAAATTCTAATACAAGATTCTCAAACACACTCCCATCCTTCACCTTTATTTTTACCTTAGTACCTAACTTCTAATAACAACCAGTATGTCCACTTCTAAACTTATGCCCCTCCACCCCCCCAGTTATCATAGGAATCATATAATCTTAACACTTGGGAGTCTGAGGCAGGAGGATCTTGAGTCTGCACTTACTATGTATGAACCTGAGGGTGACTTTGAACTCCTGATCCTCCTGCCCCCCCACCATGTGCTATGCTTATGCCCAGCTGATAAAGTCTTCTATATTCACTCACACATACTATTTCTAGGACTCATCTCTACCTATGGATTTGAGCTGCCACCTAGTGTTCTTCTTGCTCTTATATAGCTCCATCACTGCTTTCCCTGGCTTGCTCAGCTATTCATCTTATACAGTCCAGGCCCACCTGCCCAGGGATGGCACTGCCCACAGTGGGCTGGGCTCTCTCATATCAATCAACAATCAACAAAATGCTCCATAGACATGGCCACTGGCCAATTTGATGAAGGGAATTAATTAACTGAGATTCCCTCTTCCCAGGTATGTATAGATTTGTGACAAGTTGACAAAAAACTAAGAAGCACAGTGCTCTCCCTCTGCTTCCTGAATGCCAGGCTAGTGTCCTGCTCCTGCTGCCATGCCTTCCCTGCCATGGTGTACTGTGTCCCTCTGGAACTGTAAGCCAAATAAACCCTTTCTCCCCACACCTGCTTTTTGTCAGGGTAGTCTATCACAGTAACAGGAAAATAACTAATGTGTATATGAAATTTTTAAAGAATTAAAAATTATATTTGAAAGGGGGAAAAAAGAAGCAACAATAGTTACCTAGACATGATGACTCTGGTATCAGCTCATTTTTCCTGATCATCTCAATTTTTTTCACTTTGTACCAAGCAAGTCTTTTATTGTTCTAGTGTCATGCAATTTCCAACTGAAGTATAAAAGATCAAGAAGCTGCTCATAGCTTGTTCGTGCTGCTTATAATTTTTTCCTCTCTACCTTGCACATTAGAAAAAGAAAGCTCTTGGGCTGGAGAGTTGGCTCAGCGGTTAAGAGCACCAGAGAACCTGGGTTCTATTCCTAGCACCCATGTGGCAGCTAACAACCATCCTAACTCCAGTTCCAGTGGATCCAATGTCCTCTTCTGATCTCTGAGGGCGTTGTATGACATGGGTGCACTTATACACATGTGGGCAACACACTCATACACATAAAGTAAAAATAATAAAGAAAATATTTAAAAAATAAAGCAGACCTTAGCAGACCACCTGAGAGTGCCTCCATCTGCCCTCCGCCTGGTAGTAAGCTTCCCCAAATCACACCGTGCCCAACCCCCTAAATGGGATTACGTGAGGCCTCTCCCAATTCTCCAGGGGTAGAGCTCTCTGCCCTAGAGTAGGGTAGGGGCTAAAACCTTAGCAGACTGCCTGAAGGTGCTTGGATCTGGCCTCCGCCTGAGATAGAAACTGAGAACTCAGCAGACTGCTTGAGAGTGCCAAAATCAGGCCTCCCCTTAGTGAACTTCCCAAATTGTGCTGTAGTGCCTGCTTGTCCAGACATTAGAAGGAAGCCTGAGTGTACTTTACTGGAGCCTGACTTGGGCCTCTGTGGGAGCTCCTGAGTAGCTGATCTGAAGCCATCAGTTCCCTCCAAAATAAAATCTGAGAGAACCTGAAACCTAGACCAACCAGCTTTACATACCCAATAGGCAACCAAGGCACACCAATAATATAAACAGAAGCAAACTTCAACTCAACTAATGAAGGCTTGAGTTTCATACCAGATTCACAAACAAGAAAAGAAATCTACATGCCAAAATCCCAACAGTAAAATAATAATAATGGAAAACCAGAACAGCATGTACCCACCAAATTCTACTAGTCTTGTAGAAGAGTTCTACAAGAAGAGCTCCCCAGAGATAACCCAGGACGCAGAATTTAAAAGAACAATCATAAATATGACCAAGGAATTAAAAGAATTTAAAGAACATACAAACAAACAACTAAAAAAGATAGGGATAAACTTCTGACTGAGTTCACAAAAGAGAAACATTGAAGAAATCTCAGGCTGAAATGAAGAAGGAAGTGAAAAACTCAATAAGCCAATTAAAAACAACAGGAGAAAGCCTCACCACTAGGATGAATAAGATGGAAAACAGAATATCAACACTGGAGGATAAAGTTGAAAAATTGGACCGCTAAAGCAAAGATTATGAAACATTTTTTAAAAAAAGGAATGGCATATGCAGGAGATGTGGGACACCATGAAAAGACCAAATCTATGCATCATAGGCATAGAGGAAGGAGAAGAATTTCAGGTTCATGGTATTGACCAGATCTTAAACAGGATTGTAGAAGAAAATTTCCCAAAGCTAAGGAAAGACATCCCCATATAAATACAAGAAGCACCTAGAACACCAAATAGACAGGACCAGAAAACTGTCCATGGCATATCATAGTAAAAACACTAAATGTACAGAACAAAGAAAAAATACTGAAAGCTGCAAAAGAAAAATACCAGCTCACATATAAAGGACAATCCATTAGAATTATAGCTGACTTATCAGTGCAAACTACGAAAGCCAGAAAAGTCTGGACCAAGGTATTTCCAGTTCTAAATGATCACAGGTGTCAACCCAGAATGCTTTACCCACCTCAAAATGTCTATTATAG